TTTTTCCAATAATACTCAAGCTTTCATTTTGTATTTTCACGTTTCAAATCAAATAAGGCTGTACCAAATCCAAAAAGTACTTGTCTATCATAAATCTACAATTTGAAGTCAACATTGAACCTGCGTGTGGAACCAGCCCAGGCGGTCGTAGTCATGTCCCCTGCTACACCAATTGTGAAGGCTAAGACAAAGCGAAGAAAACGAGAGGTAACTTCTTCCTACGATCTGTCAGATAGGTATTTTATTTTTCAATTTCTATCCATAATTCCATCTCGTTTTTTCTGCCTTTATAGTAGTTATTTGCTAGAGTTTCCTTGTATTATCTTTTTTGTTGATCTTATTTTTTTAGTTCACTTAAGTAATTATTAATGTTCGGTTAGCTTAAGCTTACAGCACTGCAACAAAAGCTGATTATTTTCCTTTGCCCACATGACCATTTCTCTAAACTTTATAAGGATTGCCGGTCAAGGGTGCGCTATGGCGTCGCAACTTATATTTCCGGCACGCTTGCTGCCGACTTCTGAAAACTTTAATACAACCGAAAGGAAAAAAGTAAGTAAAGTCCGAAGAAGTAAGAAAAGCTAGGGTGAAGCCGTGTCACGCCAAGTCTTTACTCATAAGGTGATGGGGAGGGGAGGGGGGTAAAGAGGGCATAACAGTTGCTGCGCACCCTCGATCGGCCAATACATATGGAGTATAGAGATTCCTTAGAGTATTGATGTTTTGCATCCAGTCAAGTAATCGCTTATTTTATTGCTGATGTGCAGTTACTGCTTATTTTTAAGGAGAGTGAACGTGATTTACCTCCCGTCGTAGTTGACAAGTTACCTCCTCCTGTACAGGTGGCTATTGTTCCCACGTCAAAGGATCAGGTTGGAAGAATTCACTTTTTAGTTATCTTCTCAAAATTCGTATAAACATTTTCTGCTATTTATATTGGTAGTCACAAACATCGCTTATGTTCAGGAGCTCATACTGGATGAATTGGTCAGAAATCGACGAAGCCGTATTCAAAGCCTTATGGAATCGTCCAGTTTCGACAAGGTATAAAAATCACAAATTTTTTTGTTTTTCTTCTCTTCTCCTGTTTTGACTTTGTGGTGCTAGAATGACGAAAATGGTGATTCTGGAATGAATACAAGTGGAGACTCTTCAGAGCAACCTATAAGAAATGAAGCCTTCGACGAGGTAAAATTTCA